ATGGATAATTGGTACCTTCTGGATCTTAAACATAGTCTTATTAGTCTGTCTGTACTAGTCTAAATACTTTGATATGGTACCTGCTTTCTTAAAGCAAAAAAATAGTTTTCAGCCAAAAGGACTGTTTTGTATTGTCACTTAGCAGTTACAAGTTTTGGCACTTGGCCATATCTGATACATACTTGACTGCAATAGAGCAGGCCCTATGGATGGATCACCTCAGAGCAACTTAGTGACTGGAGAGAACATGAATGAGTAGATCAGAATGATTTTGTTGACATAACCACAGACCAAAATTATGGGAATAGGCTATTTGAATTTGCTCTTTCAGCTTTGGTGACTAAAGCTGTAATTGCCCATTGCCTTTGCTTTTTTGATCTTTTCAGCAGGGCAGAATAAAAATCTGAGGTGACTAAGAAGGGGAACTAGAAGATGTACACTTAGCCTGGTGTTTTTCCAGTTTTCCATTTGTTCGTTTCTGACCCACCTCACAGGCTGTTAATGTATTATTAGGTCTTATTATGAGTCTTAGGAAAGACTACTCAAGGCACTTCCTTGTATTTCTCTCTTCTTCTAGGTACGCAAAGAGAACCAGTGGTGTGAAGAAAAGTGAAGTGTTGTACCTGACACTGTAACACTATAAGGATTATTCCAAATACTAGTTGCACTGCTCTGTTTATAATTGTTAATATTAGACAAACAGTAGACAAATGCAGCAGCAAATCAATTGAATTAGTGGAATATTGTCCTCATTGCATGTGTAGTTTGAGTACGGATTCCAAAACCTCTAGCTGAGTTTCTTCTAGTGTGATTTTTAAAAGTTTTTTTTTTTTTCCTTTGCTCTGAATAAAACTGAACTGTGGGTTCTCTATAGAAAGTGGCATTTTGGGGTTTCCCTCTTTTTGTAAAGTGATTTCTGCCTAGTTTACTGTCTAGTTACCTTTAGTTTAGCGACGTTTTAAAAGTTGGCATTGTAAATAAAACAAGTTGCAAAAGTTTGCTGAAATAGAATTAACAAAGTATTATCTTTATTCATGAGTTGGAAACCGGAAAAGGGCTATTTGAGGTAAGTGATCTGAGTGGGGTTATTAGGCTGTCTTCCAGCTCCCTAGAGTCAGGGAGTACCACCAGTATGGGTTAACCTGTATGTAGCAAGCCTTCCTTAATTGAATCTGAGGACTTGTATTTTTAATCCCCTCAGCTTTGAATATTTGGCTAGAGACTCACTTACTACCCAGTTTGTGTTTTTTGGGGGGAGAAATGTAACTAGGAAGTTTGTTAGCTTTTCAATTAAAAAAGACACTTAACTCGTGGTATGTCATCATTTTATAATCAGTGTTCCCATGTGGGAAAAACTATTCACACTACTTGCATGTAAAAAAATAATTAACATTAAAATATGTGGCAAAACCCAGACAGCATCCATCATGAATGCAAGGTACTTTAAATAAAATGTAAGTTACATAGTAGGCAGTAAATGATTTGCTTTTGTGGCCTTAAATGTGTCTCTTCACTTAATAATAATATATGGGTTAAACTTACATGCATTTGTGTATCTTAAAAAAAAGCCTCACTGGAGGCTGCTGACATAACAATAGGGTACTAATAGACTTTTCTCTCAGAGAAGTTGTCATTTAAATGGTTAACTGGTGCAGATGCTTCAGTTCTTAGCTGGTGTACACAGGCACACAAAACTGTGCTGCCATTGTTTCCTGCTTCCCCTTACAGTAGAATGACGTCTTGATGGCCCATGCCAGGCAGGGCAGTTTTTTGTTTTAATTGTGCTTTAAGTGAAAGTTTACAATTCAAATTAGTCTCTCCTACAAAAATTTATACCCACATTGTTATGTGACCCTAGTTGCTCTCCCTGTACTGTGACAGCACACTCCTCCTTTCCACCCCAGATTTCCCGTGTCCATTCATCCAGCTCCGGACCCTCTCTGCCTTCTCATCTTGCCTCCGGACAGGAGCTGCCCATTTAGCCTCATGTATCTACTTGAGCTAAGAAGCATACTCTCCACGGGTATCATTTTATGTTCCATAGTCCAGTCTAATCTTTATCTAGAGTTGGCCTTGGGAATGGTTTTGGTTTTGGGCTAACAGAGTATGGGGGCCATGTCTTCTGGGGTCCCTCCAGTCTCAGTCAAACCATTAAGTCTGGTCTTTTTACTAGAATTTGAGTTCTGCTCCCCACTTTTCTCCTGCTCCATCAGGGACTCTGTTGTATTCCTTGTCGGGGCCATTATTGGTGGTAGCCTGGCACTATCTAGTTCTTCTGGTCTCAGGCTGATGGAGTCCCTGTTTTATGTGGGGTAGGGCAGTTTTTGAGTGAACTAAAAGTTATTTTTTTAGTGTTGAACTAAAGCATTCTTCTGACTATTGGGGGGTTTACAACTTGAGTCCTGATGACTTTGTCTTGTTTGCTGTTGTTAAAATCACTACTTCCAATGGGCAAAGGGAGTAAGAACTAGATGTGCATATTGTAAAATTTTGTTGTTGAGAATATACAGAGTGGAGCATACACTAATTCAAAGTTTCTACAGGTACAATCCGGTGACATTGATTACATTGTTCGAGTTGTACAACCATTCTCACTCTCCTTTTCCGAGTTGTTCCCCCATTAACATAAACTCACTGCCCTCTAAGTTTTGTGTCTCATCTTTCGAGTGGCTGTTGTTAATTTGATCCCATACAGACAGATTTTAAAAGAGCACAATGCTCAAGGCAGACATTCTTTACTAGTTAAGCTAAACCATTGTTTGGTTTTAAGAAGTTGTCGGGATTTTTTTGGTTTAAGGTTTAAAAATTATCTCAGGGCTGTAGTTTCAGGGGTTCATCCAGCTTCCATGGCTCCAGAAGATCTGGGTGGATGTCCATATTTTAATAAAGTATGGTAAGTAGTTTAGAACATGACCTGTGTCACAAGATAAAGCTGTTTGGACACCTAAGCAGGGTAGATATAATGTTATCCTTCCTGCCGAGCTATCAGTGGATATGAACACTGTTGATGGCATAAGGGTGTTATTGAAAGTGCTCTTGTGCAGTGATTTCCAAGGTGGGACTTAGTTTGAGTGGTACAGTCTGTTAACTTCGTAGATGATATACTTGATGCCTTGCAGTATTATCCACTGTTGGCTACATCTGGCCTGTGTGCTGGTACTGAGAGGCATTTCATGGGAGGAATGTAATTGCTGGCAACCGTGTTTGCTTCCACATTTCTAGTTCTAATGCCCTCCTTAAATCCCTTAACTTTAAATTTTCAGCAGGTATTTCAGAGCACTTAATCTGCTATATGCTAGCCTCCACTTTCACTCTGAGGATCAGCCTGTTTCATAAAAGTGCTCTCACTTCCAATATCTTCTACCTATATGGTGAAAATCTCTATTTGTCCTTTCTGTCCTGAGTGTGCCATTTCACAGCCTGTAACTCATCTGCTTCAAATGCTCTGCAGATTATTCTGTCACAGATTTATTGAAAAGGGTGCTGCACTCAGAAAACTATTCAAGAGGGATTTCCAGAGTGGCTTTATTTGGGGAAGGAGGGTGGTGGTACATGGAACCTCATTTCTCTTCCTCCTTCCTGTTCCCCCCACCATTGACTGCACATATGCCTTTTCGAAAGAACAGGGTTCCATATAAATGAATGAGAGAATACCTGAATGAAAAAGACCTGGTCCAAAGTCCCTGATGCACTTAAGTGTCAGCCTGAGCTAGTAACAGTACCTCCCATGTAATTCACAGCTGCGCTGTCTTCTTCAGAAGTGAAATATCAGTTAACCTTGTGTTGGTACAATGACCTAACTCCTGAGAACTGCTAGGGATGGGATGGTTGCTTCCCCCAGGATGGAGTTTGCCTCTTCTTCCGTGCCTAACCTCCTGTTATCCTTAGCAACTTGAAGATCTCGCCTGACTACTTGAACATGCCTGTCTGTGTTCTTCCCTGTTTTTAAACTCTCTGCCTCATGTCTGAATAGCTGAAGTTAGGGCTTCTCTCAGACCCCTGCTGCCAGTTGTGGACAAGTAGACCAGTAAAGGTCTGTTGGCCCCTCCCAACCCTTCGAGAACCCAGGAGCCTGAGTTAAAAAGATGCCCTCAGGGTGATTTGAGATCTGGAGCAAGAGGTGACTGGAATAGTTGGGATTGGGGGAGTTGACACAACCTAGGAACCAGGGTCTACTTGGGGGGCCAACTTTGTTTCAGAGCCCCCTAGTGAACTTGTAAAGCTCTTAAGAGACCTGAGTGGTGTCAGCATGTGGAAAATAGTTTATGTTAAAGTAGCTTTTCTAACCTCAAAGAAAAGCCAATTCAACTTTTTTCTAAAATAAACTAGTTTTGGGTCTTTTAATTCTTCCACTTTGATACATAGGCTAGGCAAGTGAGAGTTTAACATGACCTGACTACTCTTGTCCCTTCTGTGCTGTTTTGTTTTCCTAGAAATGGATGCAGGAACTGAGTCCCTTTCTTCGTTTCTGGAACAGAATGTAAAGAACCATTCTGCTTCTCTGCACATGAGGCCTTCTAGCCAGTCTTACTGTACACTGAATAGAGCTGTGCAGCAGTGCTTCTAAGCCAGCTTGGGGCTCGCAGCCAAAAGGAACGTGAGACAGGGAAACCATTCAAAAATTACAACTCAGCAAGAAAATCTAGCCACAGGGCCTCCGATAAAGGGGGGAAGCACCTCCAAATTGGGAGACTTGGAAAGGCCCTGCTAGCTTGCTGAGCTGAGCCCTCACCGTATCCACTGAGCACAGGAGGGCAGGGAAGCAGATGCAGCACGGAGGGGTCACGTAAGTCTGCCATTTGTTTGGGAATGTGTCAGGGACTGTTACAAGGGAGGCTGGGGTATGTCGTAAAAACGGGTTGGTTCCTGGCTGGCAGTGAGGTGCGGCTGGTGTGGTATTTTAAGTTGGATTTGGGGTTGCAAGCTCAAGTCACCCTCTGGCCTCATAGGAACGTACTGGTGTGATTTGGGAGGGTTTAAGTTTTCTTCTTTGAAGTCAGTTTTTTTTTTTTAAAGGCTGGTCTGATTTTTAACGAAGTTACCAAAGCCCCTTCTGTACTCAAATACACAAAGGGTGCATTGTTCATGTACCCAGTGTACTCTGAACAGACACCAGATCAGATACACAACCCAGTCTTGCATAAGCCCTGGTTAGAATGTAGTTTTTTGAAACAACTAGGCCAGTAGCCAGAGTGGAATTCTTTAAAATGGGACAGATGTCAAGGGAATGGCTGGTCTCCTCTAGCACCCTCCCAGAAAGAAGCGAGTCCAGGATTACAACTTCCAGTAGTCTACTTCTAAATAGATGTTGCTCTGGAAGGTTATTTATAAAAACAAATTTTAAATATAAAACGCAAAAATATAACTTGAAAATTACAATGCAGGGAGGATGACTGCTGGCCCAGTGGATGGCTGTCCGCTGGGAAGCACTTCTTGCCCAGCACTTGTATCTAGTGGTTGACTGGCCTACTGAAGTGGCTTTATGACATTTCGTACGTCCGTGACAGGTCTCACGAAGTCACCGTACACTTTAACGTGTAAAAACTAGGTTGTAGATTTATCATTCAAATTTAAGAGCTCTTGTATGAAAATATGAAAATAACACTTCAAGTGTCTTAACAGCTTTGGGGGTAAAGGGTGCTATTAAAATACCATTCCTTTAGATTTTGCTATAATACTAGGTTATAAGAGACGTTTGCTCTTGTTTTCCTTGAAAGGAGATAACACATATTTGTGAACTGTTGTGTTTTCTCTCTGCTCTCAGAGGAAAGTGGAGCCTGGTAGTCACGTGTACCTATTTTAGGTCTTTTAAAGGTCTGTGGATGGCAGCTTCCAACCCTTTTTTCCTCATATGCGCACTGGGGAGCAGGCTGGCCTGCATTGGTTTTTTTGAATGGGATCTTATGCCCCAAGTAAGCCCAGCTCTTAGAGATGGGACTGGGCCCAAGCCTTTTTAGGAAAGGTAATGAGGGTAATCCCTGGCTTCTGCAGGCTAGAAGTTTTAGAAACACGTCTACCATAATAGGGAACAAACCCCAAGTTTTGTGGCTGCGGAGAAGAAAAGAAGTGTCATGCTCTGTGACTGAAACAGCTTATTCCTCAGGGTCAGGTTTTGAAAAGGAAACCCAGTAAAAAGTATCTTTATTCATGTTAAAAAAAAGTTTGATTCTATGATGATGCATTAACAGTACAAAAATATTTTGAACACTACAATGGTTTTGTTTTTTTTCCTCTCGACTTGTTACAGTACTACACTAGAAGGTGTGATCTTTGGATTCTGAGAAACCAGTGGCTGAAGAAGGAGCTAAAGGCTTTTCTTGAGGGGTGTGTGGGGGAACATGGACAGCCCTTTTTCTTTGGATTCAGGCTATGTACAGTGAAGAGGATGCAAAAAAACAGTAACATTAAATTAAAAAAACAAAAATCTTGTTTTTCAAGGCTCAGGGTCAAAGCATGGCTCAGAAATGGGTTAAAATCGGCAGTGGTGAAAACTCACTGTCCACCACTAGAGGTCTTCTGGGCTCCTTGCTTTGGTTGTAATGGTCCTCCATTTGCCCCTGCCCTTCCTGCAGCTCCGTAGGGAAAGTGAAGGTGGCCTAGTTTGATGCTGCTGGAAGATAGGCACTAGTTGTTGGAGATCTGGGGTTTGCCCTCTCTCACAACTGCCCAAGAACTGGCTAGACATGGACGAGCTGGAAATAGATCTGTGAAAAAAGTTCTCTGAATCGGAAGGGATGCATACCAGATTTGGGCCATAACTTCTTTGAACTGTTGACTGTAGCCACTTGTGACTGGCTGGGAACTTGGTATTGGGGCTGCTTAGGCAGGTAAGCTTCTCAGGAAATATTTCCAACTGCTCTGAACTAAAGCCAGATACCATCCACCACCCACACTTGCCTGACAGGGTAGTGTCACGTTATCCCTGTTGCCAAGGTGATAAGCCTAGACTTAACCTATCCCATTGCCTCCTGAGCTGCCTGCTCTTCTTGCAAGCTCCTGAGAACACATAAAGAGGCTTCATCTTGTCCAGCTTATGAGTCACAGCTGGTTTTCTGAAACAGGGCTTCTGTAGTCCCTTGAGAGAGAAGTGTCATCTTGAGCTTTGTGGTTCTGACCTTGCTTGCACGTTGTTTGATAAACCAGCTCATTATTGGTCCATGAAGTGTTTGGGATGGGGAGGGTGTGGTGGCGGTGGTGGTGGCGGTGGTGGTGGGGATGCAGGGGTAGGGAGGGCAGCTGGGCTTAGTCTAGCCCATCTCTCACCTGTAGCAGAAAAGCATGGGAGGCAGGGGGCATCTGGCTAGCAAGACAGATGGTAAAAAGCACAAGGGATGCCTGTCATGAGATGATACATCAACACATCTGATCCCCACCACTCTGAGCAGTTTGAATCGATGGCCCCAGGTTCAGGCAGAAGTTGTGCAGCCTCTGAAATCTCCAGGGCCTGAACCCTAAGAGGGAGTCAACAGGGCCCCTGGCCGATTTCCACGTGCTTTGGGGCTCTGTCGCCTCCTCTCAGGGGGTGGGCTCCTGGAGGAGGCCAAGTGTCTTGGGCCTGCTAGGCTGCCTATCTGTGAGATTCCTGTAGCTGTACTTGTGTACTCTGCAGGGTGCTGCAGGGGGCCCGTGGGGGCCCAGGGGGCTGGAAGGCTGAGAGCGGCGGAGAGACCTGGTGATGTAGGCGCCGACTCCGCAGGGCTAGCAAGCAGTTCTGTGGGGAAGTGGGGCAGCAGGAGGTATGAGGGTGAGTCCTGAGGGGCTGGGGACCCGGGGCAGCCTAGAGCACTGTCATCGGAAGGAACTGGGCTGGGGCAGCGGCCTTCTCCGGGTAAGTACCGAATGCATTTCTTTTTCCTCCTAGGAATAGTGAAGAGAGTTATCTGTAAACAGAGGGTGAGTTCATAGTCATACACCACAACCAAAAAATGCTGTCCTTGCACAGGCCTAGCTGGCCTCTTGACCCCTCTCCCAATGACTTTGGTGATGTGCCTTCAGACCTGAATCAGCACTGCAACTCTGCTACGCCTAGCCTCTGGCACCTACCACAGCAACAAGGTGGCACACAAGGACCTTTTGTAACCAGGCCTTTGGGCTGCCTCCTGTTTTCCAGGAAGCCATCCCCTAGTTTGGGCCTTTGAGCATGATTCACTTATTCAGATGTACACTAAGGCAAGGGGCTGCAATGGCTGTAGCTTCTTGGGCTGGGCAATCCCAGTCCTCCAAGCTGGGCTGGGGGCAGAAGAAATGAACTGTGACTCTTCTCACCTGCTTATACGGCCCTGAAGTTTTCTGGGCCACACTATGCATCTGAGTAGCGTGGTCTAGCCTGGACCCCTCTGGCTCTTGGATAGAATAGGGCCTCCTCTGAAGACAGGTTGCCTCCCATCACACACATACACATCAAATTCCTCTTTGCCCTTTGGCAGGAAGCATGGTGGGCACTCAGAGGGGCTGGACAAGTATCCTTAGAGCCAGTGACCTTATTGCCTAGAATACCCTCAGCTTGAACCTAAGGCAGCCAACTTTAACCACTTGGTAGGTATATCTTCGTTTCACATGTACAAGTATTGTCCTGTTGTATAGTGAAACACATGCTTAGTGCCACAAAGCCCGAGTATGGCCCTTTGTCTAGCACAGCCCAAGAGTACCCTTGCTCTTCTCCCCAACTTCTCCAGCTGTCTTGTAAGTAGGTACTCGGGTACTCTCAGTAGGTACAAAAGAACAATGAGTCATATGACCACCAACCAGGTTGTTCTCCACTACAGTCACCTTGTTTTTTTCAGATTTAAGAGCTCAAAGCTCAGGATTGTACAGGCAGGGCTCCCAACTTGGCGGAAAAGTGTGGGGGAAGTTGTGCTACAAGTTTGAGGCCTGGGAGCCAGGGGTGTGCAGAACACCTGAGTGGTGTTGAGAGATTTGGCACCAGACATCAGAGCCACCTTCTTGAGTCTGCCTTCCCTTTCTCTATTTCCACAGTATCTCGGGAGGAGATTTTCTTCTGTTTTGGAACATTCTGTCTCTCCCCTTCCATTCCTCCTCCTACCTAGACCCAAGTGTTCTTACTCACAAGCTGTGTTCACTCCCATTCTTAGGAGGCATGGGTTCCCCAATCTTCTGGGAGTGCTAGGGGGCTGGTGAGCCAAGAGAGGGCTGCAGGCCCAGCAGAACCTGTGCAGAGTCAGGGAAGCAGCTTGAAGCAAGAGGGGGAGGGTGGTGGGGACAAACCCACCTGCACGGACCACACCAATCCGTCTGCTGGTTGAGGCCAAAGCGAGCACGGCATTTCTTAGGCGAGCCAGGGTCTGCTCAGACATGCCAGAGGGGCAGAGCAGGACAGAGGGCGAGCGGGCAGGCAGCAGGGCAGAGCAGGGCCCAGAAAGAAGAGGCAACATCAGTGTTAGCCAGTCACAGACACCCCACAGCCCCCATAGGTAGAGTAGGCCTCTCCATGGCTCCCTCTCCTAGTGGGAGCCCTAGGGCCAGAGCAAGGTATCAGGAAAGGTATCTCCAACTGGGCAGGAGGCAGTGGGAAGAATGGTGGTAGTGGTGGTTGGGGGAGGGAGGCCCTGTCAGGCTGGCTCCTCTCTGGCTTGTGGGGCCCCTTACAGCATGAGAGCTACAGCAGAGTCCAGGGAGGCCCTCAGGGATCCAGCCTCTTCTGCCTTAAGGCTGCCCACCCTCTCCCCAACTCCTTGCCCATTTTATTGAGTTTTTCTTCATTCTTGCCAGGGCCCAATCTGCCTGACCCACAGCCCCTCATGCTGTAGTTTATCCCTATTCCACACACTCTTCTAGATGGAAAGAAAGGCTCATCCCTCAGCCTCAGAGAAAAGGCTGAGGACTCTGTGCTGTCCCCCCACCCCCTAGTCCCAGCCTCCAGCTTCCCTGTGTGGGGACAGCATAGCTGGGAGTCATAGGTATGGAATCTGCATTTTCAGAGTTGAAGGCAGGAATTCACCCACAGGAAGGAGGCCTGCAGTGGGGTGTGGGCTCCCAGGGTCCTCTACACAGAGCATTTTGCACTGCCATGAAAAATTTGGGATGACAGAAATTGCCAGGCACCAGCCAACAGGCTGTGTAACTGCTAAGCCCAGGTACAGGGCCTGGCTCAGCCTCCATCCAGATGCGTGCTGTCCATTTCAGCAGAAGTAACCAGGATGCACTGTTTGGAATACCCACTGAACTATACTCAGTCCATTTCTCACTAGCTTCTCTGGGAGAGGCTTGCTGGGAGTAGGGCTAGCAAAGGCAGTGGAGGAAGGTGGGGTGGTAGAAGGTAAACTAGCTTCCGCTTGTCTTCGCTGAGATTAAGTACAGCTGTTCCTTGCACAGGGCTCTGACTTGCGAGATGCAGACCCTGTTTCCCTGAAGGATCCTGGCTGGGTACACTGCCCCTCCCTTCAGGCCAGAGCAGAGATGCTCTTGAAATGGGGGCTTGGAAATGAGCCTCTACTACTGCTGAGGGAAGGCCTCACCTGTGTTGGATTCTTGGTGCTTTTCCCTTGAGCGCCTCTTCTTCTTTCCCTGAAGGGAACAAAGGGAGAGAGACTCAGATCTGGGAGGCAGTTGCTGTGACCCCAGTGAGTGAGGGGCTGGGACAGCTACAGCCTGCTGCTGAGCCTATCTGCCTCCAGGATTCCTGCAGCTTCCTACCTTGGGGCCCTGGTGTTTCTTAACTGCAATCCTTGCTAGGCTACCACGGGGTGCTTTTGGGAGCTTCCTCTCTCTCCTGCTCTCATATCCATTTTGAATGGAGGGATGTGAATTCCAGCCCTTCTCCTCCCCTTCTGCCCATCCACGTGGCCCAGTTCAAATACTGGGCAACAGCCCCATGTGTGAGTGCATTCTGGGGTGGGGAACAGAATGTGGGCTTGCCTTTACGGGCAGTTCCACCTGGTGTGGCCTCTTCTGAGCTGGCCAGGTGTTACGGATTGAATTGTGCACCCTCCCCCGCAAATATGTGTTGGAATTCTAACCCCTATACCTGTGGATGTAATCTAATAGAATCACCTTCCATAATGCAGTCAGTTGAAGTCATACCAGTGTAGGGTGGATCCTATACCTAGTCACTTCTGAGTTATAAAAGGAGCAGCATAGACACAGAGACATGCATGCACAAGCAGGGAAGACAGACACTATCTGACTACGAAGCAGATGAATCTATTAGCCCAGGAACTCCAGGGATCGCCGGCTACTAGAGGTTGAAATAGACAAAGACCTCCCCCTAGAGCCATACCCTGAATTCAGCAGTGCCACCGAAGGTCAAACTCATTGTTCTAGCCCAATCCCTCCCTCCTTGCATCCATACTCAACTGCCCCTTTCCCAGTTGACCATCTCATGCCTAAGATGCTAATTAACATGTCCTGAACTGTGTTATTTCTCTTACGGCAGCACTTAGGTAGCTAACACACCAAGGGAGGCCTCGGACCCTCCACTTCATCACCTCCTTTCTCATCTGTGCCTTCAGGACAGTAGTCCTGCCTTCTCTGCTGAGACTGGTGCATGGCGTCTTAAAGATTTTCCTACCCGTCCCTCCTAAGTCACTGGCCACTCACGTAGTTGTCCCGCGCCGACCAGCCTGGGTAGAGCTGCATGTGCAGCTGCCTCTCTTTGCGGGCCAGCTCATAATACTTGGCTTGTTCTTCCCGAGACAGCGCGTGCCACTGCAATGGGGGTGGGGTGGGGTGGGGTGGAGATTGAATGTATCAGGAGTCAGCAAGCTGCACCAGGGTGAAGGTAGTCAGGGGCCACCCCCACCTGCCCTCACCCTGCGTCCCAGGATCTGGTTGATGGCGGCGCTTTCCTTGAGCGTGCACTCTGCGATGACCTTGGCTCTCATCTCCTTCATGTACAGCATGAAGGCATTCAGTGGCTTCTTGATGGTTGGCTTCTTGGCCTCCTTCTCCACCTTGGCCTCTGCCTGGGTCTTCCTGAGGGGCACATATCCAGATCACTCAGGAGCCCCCCAGTGTCCACCTCATGCCACACCCTCCTCTTGTGTCCCGTGTGTCTGTGAGTGCATGGGTATTAGGGTTTTTGTAAACTGAATCTCTTTTTAGCTGCCCCAAAGCGGGTGAGCAGAGAGCTAAGTACCTGTTCTTTACAGGAATACTGTAACCAAGAGGAAGATTCACGTGTTAAGACTTCTCTGCCCCTCTCCTCTTGGCTTAAATTAAATCCTTGTTCCTACCCACCCATCCTTTCCTGCTTTTGAAGGTCAAAAAACAGAGCAGTCAGTGGTCAGAGCTCAGGGACCCCTGGGTTTTAACTAAAAAAGGCTTGACCAGGGGCCTCTCTCCTGGCAGTCCCTGAAGCTCCCAGGCAGCTGGCCTTGGGCCTGGTGGGAGGAATGTGTATCCTGGCTGGACCTGGGTGTGGGGAAGGCCTTGATGAATAAATGGGAGTCAGGTCTGTTTACCTGCCCATCCTACACGCCCCCCATTGTGTGCCTTTTCACTCACAGGCTGCGGTCATAGGGCTGCAGTTCCTGCTTCCCTGAGGGGGGCACAATGGCCGGGTGGGGGATGGCCGCGGGGTGCCCAGGTACACCAGAGCCTAGCATCAGGGATGGGTGGGTGAACCTAGAGGCAGGAAGAGAGTTAACACTGAGACAGGTGTGTCAGGGCCAGACCTGTGGACACACGTGGAGGCCCCTGCATGGTACACAAGGACACAGGTAAACATACCCTCCCCCACTGGCCTGGACACAAGTACACAGAGATACATACAAATACCTGCTCCCAACACATTACATAGACACATTGCAAAAATTCACATATATGCCATTTAGGTGCTTACTATGTCCTGAACAGCTTTTGGCCTTTTCTCCTCACCTGTCTCTAGCTCACCCTCACGAGCCTGTGGCTGCCCTGTAGGCCTCCTCTCAGTCTCCTGCTTGCCCACTCCAGCCTCTCTCCACACAACAGCCAGAGTGACCTTTTTAAGACACCCGAATGCTCATGGCCCGTTCCTGCTGGAATCTCCCCACTGCCCAGGCTCCTTCTTGGAGCCTGCACAATGCCGCATGACTATCCCGCTGACACCCCTCACCCCATCCTTCCCCCTGCTCCCTATTACTCCCTATCTCCCTTCCCCCAGGCCCGACTACTACTGTTTCCTTTGTCCCCCTCTCCCAGGAGATGTCATCCTTTTCATGAAGCTCTCTGACCCATCAGGCCCAGCTGGGGTCTCCTTTGGGCTTCCTCATCACCCAGATGGCCCCACTCAACTGCTGGTACCCGTGTTCATGCTCTATCCCTGGTGCTCTGTGTGACTCTGTTGGACAGAATGGCCTGGACTTAGGCCCCTCTTGTGCTCCCATTGGCTTTGCTCTCAGGCTCAGAGCAGCAGCAGGGCTGTAAGATGACGCACGGACAAGTGGACAAACAACTAGCACAGGGCAAGCAGGGACCTGGGCATGGCCTCGTGTGGGCACTGAAGCCTGGGCAACAGGAAGCAGGAGCCTGGCTGCAGGGTAGGGGACTCACCTGGGGTAGGGGGCGCCAGGGGCTGCGGTGGGGGCGGGGAAGTGCTGTCTATATCCACAGGAAGGGGACAGGGGGTAGAGAGGAGGGCTGGGCCTGTGATTGGGAGAGACAGCTGTTAGCGGTCTAGCTGCTGGCCAGACTTGGGAAGGTCTTCCCCACCTTGTATGGGCCTGACCCAATGTGAGGCCAGTTGGCCTCGGCTTGGACCACCCCACGGATGGAGCTCAGCCCCTCCGCAGCCAAGGCAGTGTGTGCTGCAAGCATGTGCCACCAGGGGGCAACCTATGCTGCGTCTGTTTTCTTCTGCCAGCTCGTACTGTACTGATACTTTAAGGGATGGACATGGCACCTTGCCCTCGGGACCCAGCTTAGCAGGTCCCCAGGTCCCCTCCAGCCTCCAGTCCCCCCCCCTCACAGTGCTCTAACTCCATGGGGCAGTCTCCTGAAGTCTCCCTATAAATACAGGCTGATTCCTGCCTTAGGGCCTTTGCACCCACTGTTTATACTGCCTGGATTGCTCTTCTGCCCCACTTTGCCTGCTTCAACTAGTCGCACTTCAGGTTTTGGCTAAATTCCCTTCTTCCTGAAAGCCCTGAGATCCCCAGCTAGATGAGGTGCCCCTCTGAGCTCCTACAGTCCTCAATCAAAGCACTGCTCACCAAAACCCAAAAACCAAATGCACTGCCATTGAGTTGATTCTGACTCATAGTGACCCTACAGGACAGAGCAGAACTGCCCCACAGTGTTTCCAAGGCTGTAAATCTTTATGGAAGCAGACTGCCACATCTTTTTCCCACAGAGCAGCTGCTGAGTTCAAACTGCTGATCTTTTGGTTAGCAGCAGAGCACTTAACCACTGCGCCATCAGGGCTCCCTGCACTGCTCACAGTACCCTGTAATTGCCTGGCCTCTTGCCTGGGTCACCCACTAGGTGGACTGAGTTCTGAGGTGGCAGGATCTAAGGATCGTCAGCTTCAGCAATGCTTCCCAGCTGCACAGAACGCTGCACAGCCAAGCTCAGTGCAGAGATGGCCAACATACCCCCACTTCTCTCCTGGCAGCCAAGTGCCATTCCCCCTCCCCTGAGCCTGAAGTCCCCTTATTAGTGCCTTGGGTTAACATCTCCCCTAGGTTCAAGTCTCTTGGTCTTTAGAGCTATTGGCCTAGGGATCACTGTCAAGAGGCTGGTGCAGAGATTTGTTTCCATAGGACCCTGGCCTGGCCTAGTCAGGCTGAGCTCTGAACAGCCCCACCCTGCTCTGATCCTGTTAGGAGGTACCCAAGAGGGAAGTCCTGATTTGTGTTCAGAATGGGGCTTTGTCTAAGGAGAATCTGGAAACAGGAGTGAGCTAAACACGAGTAAAGGGTGAGTAGAAACGGGTGGGGAGGCCCCGGGCTGGGCCTCTGGACTGCTCTGCCTTTCTGCTGTTGGGTGACTGCCACAGCCCAGAGAGGCTGGGTCCTACTGCAGCTGATGAGCAAAGGGCCAAGGAGCCTGCCCAGGCTCGGCTCTGGCTAAGGACAGGCCCTTCGGCGCACAGTCAGGACTGCTGAATTGGGGGATGTGGGGAGCGCCCAGGCTAGCTTTCCTGGCTCAGCCTTAACAGACTCTAAGACAGGCCTCTGTAAGTGGGGAACCAGCTGCACCCTGCCCCTCCAGCAGCTCAACCAAGAAAGGGACCAACCAGCAGCAGGTAGTGGGAAGTATTCCCCTGCCCACCAGCCGGCTAAGAAGCAGCAGCCTCTGTGGTAGCCACTCATGTCATGCTGTCTTCTTCCTACTTAGGCCTAACATTTCTTCCTCACATACTCCAATGGCTCTGGAGGTGCCTGAGCAGCCAGAGTTCTGCCATCCACAGGGACCAGGACCCAGGTCTCCTGCCTTCCCAAATGGAGTATGTCAAACTACCTGGGGAACACCCATAGGCCAAAGGGCCACAAGGAGCCCTGGCCCAGAGCCCGCATGGGCTAGAGCTGCAAGCCAGCCCCTGGTGCCTATACCAAGCTGGCAGCAGGGTGCTCCGCACAGAGGATGGACGAGGGGATAGAAGGGCAGGTATGGGTCGGACCAACGCATGGTGCCCCTTTCCCACTGGGCCCACACTCACCAGCTCACAGTGTGGGGGAGCTGTCCCATGCTGCCTGAGGTCAGAGAGTAGAAGCCAGAGAGGTCAGGGGTCTGCAGAGGCCTGTGAACTGCAGTGGAGAGGGGCCGAGTAAGTAGGCTAGCCTGACTCTCGGGCCACTTCAGCCAGTTAATCCAACCTAGAGCCTCACACGGGGGCCTCTAAGATCCCATTCCCCTTCACTAGAGGACCAGACAGGCTAGCTTGCTCAGGACTATCCCTGTTTACACCACTGCTCCAGTGTGATAATGCCCATTTTACAGGCAAGGGAGCCAAGGGCAGAGGTTAGGGGACTTGCCTAAAGACACCCAGTTGGCTGGCCAGTGGACAGGGTTGGAGTCACCCAAGAGTGGTCCACTGATGGTCTGCAATTGGGGCTTCTCTGCTGGGGAGCTCTGGCCTGGCTTCCTGGGCAGGAGGCAGGCCCCCTAGTTTGGGGGAGCCAGGTGGGGAACCAGGGCTCCACTGCCCCCACCCCGACCCCAGGGTGAATCAGCAGGTTTCCCACAGCGACAGTGGTGGATTTCAGAATGACTTGGCCTGAGGCTGAAGTGAATCAGTCATCACAACCACCACTTTCCATTTTCTCACCGGGGGGAGGGGAAGGCTGCAGGTTAGATGTCTGCTCCCATACTGGCACTGGGGAGGGGGGTTCCCCACAAAACTTAGGCCCTTACTTCAACCTGAGGTCTTCAAATTTTGACTTGGGACCACCTCTCCCAGCCCTGTGGTGCCCTGAGGCCTCCCAACCCATCTTTCTGGCATCCTTTTCTTTGGGCCCCAGGTTTACACAGCCCCAGTTTCTGCAGCTGTAAAAACGGGCCCAGCCACCTGGGTTCCTCAGAAGGCAGGGACTTAGCCTTCAGGCTCTGGGTCTCACTGGGCTCCTCCCCATCCCAGGCCCGTACCTTGCTTCTGGCTGATGTCAGCAGGCGCAGGTGTGGGGTGTGGGCTGCTGAAATGTTCGTAGAGAGGAGAGAGTTGGGGGACGCCGTGAGGGGGCTGACTAGCCTTGTTGTGCTGAAAAATGAGAAGGAGGGTGGGTGAATGTGGAAGGAGGGAGGAGAGGTGAACTTGGGGCCTGGGGGCATGCAGGTAGGAAGAGCCACAATTAGCTGTATGCGGGCAGCCCAGTTGTCAAAGCAAAGGAGGGTGGTGGTCAAAGACCACAGGCCTCAGGGAAGGGGGACCACTCAAGCCATCCAGTGACAGTGATTCTGCCCACTACACCCCCAGACTTTGCCCAAACAGTCCCACTTGCTAGAAAGCCTCTTGGTCTTTCTGTTTACTCAAATCACAGCAGGTACAGCTCCCCTGTCCAGGAAGACCTTCTGGCCTCCCAGCCTCAGACTCCCTGGCTTCTCTGAGGCCCAACAGCTTGTCTCTGGGGTGCTCACAGCCTCCACCCCAGCAGCAGGGCATGATCTGAGGACCTGGCCTACCCCGGGACAGTCTGGAGCTCTCTTTCCTCCTCCTCTAGCCCCCAGACTGGGGGTCCTGAATCTGATCCTCTGTCCTACCTCAGGCCTAACAGGATTTGCTGACACAGGGAAGGGCCCCTCAGCCCCCTAACTCAGAGGAGGTGGGGCCAGGTGGGGCCTGGCTCCCTTCAGGGCCAACCAGCACAGCCCCCACACTTCCTGTTTCCTCAGCACCGCAGGACTCTTACTTTTCACACTAGTTGCACAGCTTTGTCATGAGATGACTCAGTCAGCAGCCTGAGAAGGGACCTCCTACTCAACCCAGCCACAAGGGGTCGCTGCTCAGAGCCAAGGCCCAGCTCTGCACCCCTCAGCGCATGCTTGCACAGGCCAGGCCCTGGTGGCATCATACCACAGCAGCTTGGCTTCCAACTCTGAAAAGTCCAGCTGTAGGGTGCTGCTGGCTGGGAGCACAGATGAGTGACCTCTGACCCGGGGCACAGAAGAAAAGGGAATCTTTGGAGCAGGACAGCAAAGAGAAATTAGCCAGACTTCTTAGTATCCCTGGGCTTCAGTTTCCTCTCCTGTGTAATGGGGTTAATGATCCCTTCACCACCAGGTTTGGGGAAGGTAAGGGTAGCTCACGGTGAGGACGCCTGGCACAGGTGCCTTGGCATTGGCCTTTGGAGGAGGCTGGAGGGAAGGCTGGGTGTGAGCCCTCCTGTAGCCAAGGCATGAGGCTCCCAGGGGCACAAGCTCTCGCACCTCCAGAAACAGGCCTGGCTCGCCATCATTCCCCACACTCCTGCCTCCAGGGGAGCCTGGGGCCAGGCTACAAGCTGCACCCCTTTCCCTCAGATCTTGGGGAAGGTGCTGACACTGCCACCTGTTGGTCTGCGGTTCATCCGTCTGCCCACCAGGAGGAGCCTTACCTAACTGGGCTAACCAGGCTTCCTCTGTCCTGAGGCAGATGGTGTTGATGTCTCAATAGGGCTGGGGATTCGTTTGAGGCTGGCATGGATGTGGCAGCACAGCCCCTTTCTGAGCCACCACCTGGCGGCCTGGGGAAAGGCAGGGAAGTGTTCCCTCTGTCAGGCCCAGGGAGGGCCTTCCACTGTGAGCTCAGAGGGAAAAGACAGGCAGACCTCGTTCAATCCTGACTCTGATGTGACTTACTGTGTGGCCTCAGAGAAGTGACTAGTGTCTCTGAACACCCCTTTCCTCCTCTGTAAAATGGAGATGGTCATAGGGTGGGTGTGAGCATGAAGAGACAACATCTAAGAGCTCAGTTACTCAAGTGCCAGGTAATGAAGAAGGGGCATGGAGGAAGCCCCTCATTTGCCCTGAAGAGCCATCACAGGCGAGGAGGAAACCTTGAGAAATGGCCACTTACAGTGCTTCCCCAGGCGCCCTAGTGCTGGGCCTCACATCCTGGTCTGATTATGTGAAGGGCGGTTTGCCTGGGAGATGGCAGGCACACCTGGTAACTCAACTGGCAGCAGCAGGGGGATGACGGGCCATGCCGTCCTCCGGCCTAGGTGCTGTGACTCTCCTGTTGTGCTTGCAGAGAGAATGGCCAGGCTTCCTGGGCGAGCTGAGGAGGCTCAAGTCACTCTTATCTTTACCCCTGGCACTGACCCCAGGCAAAATTGTGGCAGATTTGGAGTGTATGTGGGAAATGAGGGTGGGGCGAGGGGTGTGGTGGAATGTAGGATCCTTGGGCCCAAGAGTGGCTGGTAAGGTAAAGAGGAGTGGGCCAGGGCAGCTGTGGGGAGGGGTGTGGACACATGTGCACCCCGCATATACGGAGTACCTGCCACATGCCAGGCGCTGTGCTGTGTACTTTGCAAGCCCCATCTCATTGCCACCAGGGTACAAGCAGATTGTCATTTCTGCCATCTGTAACTTCCCCAGCTACCACCTCATGTCTAGCTGCCTTGTACAGCAGAGGTGTCCACTTACACTGCCTCTAGTCCTCAGCTCTCATCCTCCCCTCTACCCAGCCCAGTCTCTTGCCCCATCACTCCACTGGTTGGCTTGTGTCCAGGTCCCCAGTGACTTCTACACTGCTGAATTCAGTGGTCAGTTCTCGTCTTCATTTTATCTGACCTCTCGGGAGCATCAAACACAACTGCTTTCTCCCTCCTCCTTGAAACAGTTGGTTCACTTAGCTTTGAGATCGCCAAACTTGCCTGGTTTTCCCCCAGCCTCACGGCTACTTCTCAGCCTTGTTTCTGGCTCCCTATCCTCTTCCTGACCTGACCTGAGACTGGCCTTCTGCTCTACTTACCCTCACCCCTACAGTGCTCTCATCCAGGCTCATGGTTCATAACATCTTCATCTGATGGCTTTAGATTGATATCTCCAGCCCCCACTTCTCAGAACTCCACTCTCCAAATGCCAGCTTAACAACACTGCTTGGAGGTCTAACACGCCACCCAAAATCAAAATGCCCAAATCAGAACTCGTGGCTTCATGCCCCAAACCCCCTTCTGTCTTTCCCACCTCAGTTAACAGTAACTCCATCCTTCCAGTTGCTCAGGACAGAAACCACGGAGTCATCCTTGACTCTTTGTCTCACGTCCCACATCCAATGTGTCAGCAAATCCTAATGGCTCTACCTTCAAAGTATACCTAGAACTCAACCACTTCTTCCTCCACACCTCCCACCCAGTCCAAGCCACCGTCATGTCTCACCTGGACGGCTACAGCAGCCTCCTCACTGGACCCCTGCTTCTCTTCTGCCCCCTCAGTGGCCTCCCACCACATCTTTGGCATTTTAGGTGTTATTCTATCTCCTTACCTGGGGCCTAACGCCCTATGTGACCAGGCCCCCCTCCCCTCCAACCTCGTCTCTTCCCACTCTCCCCTCACTCACTATGCCAGGACTTCCCACGGGCGCCTCAGCCCCCAGCACCCTTCTCCATTTACTCCAGTGACAGTTTTCTGAATGGCCGCGATGTGAAGTAAGTGAGATGCCCAGCTCTAGCCTCACTGACTTTTCCCTTCTGCAAGCTTGTTCCTGCCATTGGACCTTTGCACTTGCTGTTCCCTCTGCCTGGACTACTTCCCTCCCAGATCTGTACACAGCATCCTCATTTAGACTTCAGCTCAAATGATACCTCCAAGAAGCATTCCCCGACCTCCCTAGCTAACTGGCCACCTCACTTGCACAGCTCCTGGCACTTAACAGGTGCTTAAAAAGTACTTGTTGAGTGAATGAGTCTCACAACCCTGAGATCAGTACTGTTGTCCCCATTTTACAGCAGAGAAAACTGAGCCCCAGAGAGGTGAAGTGACTTGGAAACAAGTGTGTCTGAAGCAGGCCCTCCTCAGCAACTCTGATGCTGGATGTATCCTTGCCACCATCACTTCCCCTCTTTGATGTTCCTGGAGCTCATCACCTCCATGGTACAGAGAATACTGGACTTAGTCAGACAGACATGGCCTCTGGTCCACTCAAGCCTGTTTTCTGCTCTATAAAATAATCCCCCAAGTGGCTCTATCTCACTGTAGGTTTGTGAGCCAGTCTCATTCCTTCTCTGGGCTTCACTGGTCACAGATGCAAAACTCCTGCTCTATCCTAGAGTTTTAAGGAGCAGAAGCCAAGGGCCTATGATGACAGGGAAGCTTCCTGGACAGCATCAGGCCTGACGAGGCCCTGTGGCAGCTGAGGGCAGGGAGACTGAGCCTCAGGACCCACTCCCTCAGGAACAAAGGACCCTGGTGGAAACCATTCCACCATTCTCCACCTGGAGCCTGGCTCAACAGGTGGAATGAACACACTCCACAGACCTCTCCACGGCCAGGGACTTTCGAGTCTAAGCTCCTGTAGGCCTGGCTGGTGGAGTGGGCAAGACTTAGGAGCAGGGCTAGGGTCCAAGGTGCCAGGTTAGGAGGATAGTCCCACAGTCTCCACTCTGCCCAGAGTTGGGGGGTCTGCTCCATGGCAGGTTTCTCAGTAAACCACTCCTCTCTGGGGGGGGCCAGCTTTGTCCAGGAGGCCCTGAGAGCCCTCCTGCCTGAGCGAAGGCCAAGGCTGACTCTCTTCAGCCATGCTGGGGCTGGCTCAGTTCCAGCTTTGCTACCTGAGGCCTGGTTCCAGCACAGCTCAGGCTGGGCCTAGGAAACCTCAGAGAACCCAGCCTACAGCCACTCGCCTGGTACGTATGCATGTGATGGGCTGGAATGCGGGGGAGAGGCTGCCTTATGGGCAGTGGGCTTGTCCTGTCCACCAGCCTCTCTGGGAACTGGGAAAAAGCCTCATTAAACAGGAGTCTCTAGCCAAACCACAGGAGAAGTGCTGGGTGGGCAGGGGTGGGGCAGAGAACCCGCCAGCAGCTGGAGGCCGTGGTGGCCAGGGCTCCAGGGCAGGGCACTGAAGCCCTGGCCAGCCCTTCCCACGTTCATGCAGGCGGCCTCAGCCTCACTCCCCAGCGCCCTTCCCCATGCCTGGTGGTGGTAGCCAGGGGGAACCGTCTGGCGCATGGCCCAGTGCCCCACGCCCCTCTCAGCCTGCAGAACGTCCCGCTCCAGGGCCTCAGCACAAGGCTGTCCCTGGGCCAGGCTGCCCAGACAACAGGGTGGGGTTGCCTGGGG